CGTAGTCGAGTAGTTTAAGCACTTGACTTGAAATTCGAAGGTCGTGGTTCGATCCCCGATACGGCACTTATGTCCTTTGGCAAGGCATTAATCTTCATTTGTCACACTCAACCCAGGTGATCTAAATGGGTACCTGGCAGGAATTAATTCCTTGAAATGCTGGAGCCCTGTATAAACGGCAGCTATATAGGCTAAAACCGGGGTAATAATAAATGCGCCTCGGAATAGAATTTCTAGATTATAGACGGCGCTATAGAAATGCCTATTATTATTATTATTGTTACCCTTCTACATGTATTAATGTATTTCAAATTTCAAATTTTATATACTCTGAATGTAATGTATAATATATGTTTTTTTAATTGAAGAATGGAATAAAACAAATACCTATAGCTATATTTTAGTATTTTGAAAAATAAGAAAAAATTAAAGAAAACAAACGTTACTTTCGATTGAAAGAGAGAGAGAGAGAGAGAGAGAGAGAGACTTTTCATATAATTAGATGAAATCCCCAACGAGGCCGTCCGTAGAAATCCAATGGTAAAAATTATCATGCTAAGCAAGTGTGAAACAGTGCGGTCAGATGTGCCATTTAAGTGATTTAACAGATCGTAAAAGTCATGAAAAGAAAATTTAGTATAGAAATTCATAATCAACAAGTAATATAATTTACCGCAGCTACCAATCCGTAGTATATACAATATGCAGGCACCTTCTTGTTGTCACATTTTATATCTGGCGTAAAATTCTAAAGTAGGCCTTAGTGAAATAAAGGCGGGATGAGATACACGCATATCACTCTCTCTTGGTATGGATATATCTAGAATCAAATGTGAAATGTAAACATATGAATGGTTACAGTATTGTGTTGCTAAAATACTTTATCAGAGAATGTGCAAATCGGCTGTAATCATAAGTGCTAGTCAATTAGATGCGTGAACTACCATTATGCTGCTCTTTCATTCGGTAATATATCAAAAGTCACCAGGAAATTATTTTATTTTTGTTGCGATCATCGACCTAATATGTCATCAACAATAGCTTCAGTGACACAATAACACCAATATATACAAGCTACAAAGGTAAACTGTATTTATAAGATGGTGTAATCATTCATAATATAGTGTAGGTTTTCGAGATTGTTTTGTTTGTTCCATTTAGAGAGCATCAAAACCGTCGGGTAGATTGGTACCAGGAACAAAATCAGAACGTGTTAGTAAACCCGCCTTCCTCTCAAAGCAAAAACAAAGAAAGAACAAAAAAGAAGAAATAAGAAAAAGAAAACAACAATTATACAAATATATGTAGAACAAAATGAAAAATAAAACAAAATGAAAACAAAAACAGAACACAAGGAAGAGAAATCAAAACTTTATGTAAAAATCAATCGCAAAGATATTAACAGAAAGACAATTTTCATTACTATATCTTATTACCTGTAAACTCATGCTTTGATTATTTTATATTTAATAGATGACGCATTATACTATCCGAATCGCCCTTAGATTAATTTTGAAAAGCCTCTATGCCAAACTGGAAAAGCGTCGCTGGACATGATTTCTGTCCTTATATACCTGCCCTATCATAATAAACATCCTATAATGCCATGCCTACTATATTGATAAGCATCGTTTTTTATCTCCTTACCCCCCCCCCCCCTCTCTCTCTCTTCCTCTCTCTTTCTTTCTCTTCCTATCTCACTGTCAAATTCTTTCTTTTCTTTCTCTCTCTCTCTCCTTAATTATCATGTATCTCATTTCTCTCCATTTCTGTTTCCTATAATTTTATCTCACCTTTCATGCATGAGCCTGTGTAGGTGCACGTTTGTGTTGAGAGGAGAACATGGTAGGCTTAATATAATATCTGCCATCTAAAAGCCTATCAGAAAATTTGATATCTGGAATATTTTTGCCTGGACATGAGAATATTAGTTTTTTCATCTGATCAGAACATAACAAAAGTCATCTAAATGCAACTCATAAACATGCTCTTCAATAAAGTTTGATGATCATCAAGTGGTACTACCCTCATCTTAACCTTTATTATACATTTAGTCAATGGGTATAGGAAGGTGGTATGCCATTAATTTTGATGAATATTAAGATGCCAATGAACGAAAACTTGAACATATATAGACACTATTTCGTGATAAATAGCATCTTTTCCGGTTTGATATAGATCACTTTTCATTTCAGGAAATAGCCACTCTCTAATATCCTTTACTGGACTTGGTGGATATTAATTTTGTGAGCTTGTTTTGGTCGTGTAATGCCAGGATATAGTCCTAATTTATAACTTAGTAGATCAGGTTACTGTAGCGGTGTTAGGAGTTTCCATCTATATCCTTGATTTAATAAACGTTGAAAGCGGAATGTTAATCCACATATCCAAGAGAGAAATACAAAGGGGTGGAAATAGAGAGAAAGAGAGAGAGAGAGAGAGAGAGGGGGGGAGAGAGAAGAGAGAAGAGAGAGAGAGAGGGGGGATATTACAGAACCATCGTTTTATGATCATTTGATTTGTACAAGCTGACTTATGGAATACCTATGATCTTAAAGAAACGAAACCATGTTTTTGCTCTGAGCAGAAATAAAGGAAACAAAAATAATTAAAACAAAATAACCATATCAATAATTAGCCATACTGATTGATGCTTCAGGTAATGTTAACCATACTTCTCCTTTTTGGATAATTGGCCTTACAAACAAGCAACCAATGAATTCAATCCAAATTTCAATTTCAATTTCAATTTATTGTCCAATATTGGAAATTCGTTTTGCTCACATTTTACAAATGTACAAATAATCAAAATAAGTTTACAAACATAATTTATCATATACTTTGACATAGAAATTCTTCAGAATATTGCTTTACAAAAATTTTCTTACGTTATTATAAAACAAAATAAGTGAATTATTTTAAATGTTCGAGTGAACGGGATGGCCCGGAAAGGTTAGAAAAATAACATTACAGAAAATAACAAAGAACGTAAAAATTCAGGTAGCATTTTGATTGTATTTGCGGATCGAGAAAGGAACGAAGGAATATTTATTTAGAAAAGGTTGAGTGCGACAGTTCATTGAACGAAGTCGTTTATCAGAACTCATAAAAACATAGTATGGAAAGAGTGGATGATTTTCGCTTTTCATAATTTGTTTTACTTCTAGAATTATTTTGGATTCGCATGCTTCATTCAAATCATACAATAATAAGTAAAGAAAACAAAATCTTAATCGTAAGAATGAGTAAACAATCATTCGACCAAACTAAAAAAATGACAATCAATGATGTAATACAACAGTCGATAATTCAAATTCCAAACCGATCAATCAGGCAACCCATCAATCGATCAAATATACTTTAAAAATCACCCAAGCAAGCGATTAAATAACTAGTCAAACAATAAAAGCGAACGATGAATCCTTGAACCAACCAATGTTATCACATTCATCGAATGACCCTTTTATCCCATTAATCCATGATTAATTCGCATTTACAGTTAATGTAAGCCATGCAGCACCCTCTTCTGAATCAATCCTCTAATAATATAGTAATTCAATCCCATCACCCACTCTGCAAATCAGATTATCAAAACGAATTGCACCCTCCAAGAGCTGTTTCTTTCACACAAAAAAAATCTATTTATTGATAGAATTACCAGTAGTAAGATTTTAGCACAACTTTATGAAAACTTACAAAGATGAACAAAGCTTTACACGTACTGGACTAGAAGAATTACAACCAATGGTAAAACTATACACGCAACGATTTTCATCAGTTAGGGGAAACTATAGAGAAACACTACGTGAAACACGACGTCTTCATGACTTCAAATGTACCTATTTAATGTAGGCCTACATACATTTTTATGAATGTAAGTAAGATAGACAATGATGAACAAAACACTCTTCTTGGTATTGAACTTTTATACAGGTTGGATATTAACATGAATAGAATGAAATTAATGTCATTTACATGTACGTTTATATACCTCTAAATATGTCTAAAGACCTACCGGTATACATGTCTCGTGCTCCAACCCAGTTGGCAGGAGACCCGTTACACCAACATGTTGGTCATATGGATCTTCTATCTCGAGACCCCCATTGTCAGTCTCGTGTGCTGTTACACAACTGGGAGCCACCAATAGGGAGTTTTAGATTCTGCACGACGAGAACGTGGACTACCCTTTTAAGGCAATGTGACGTCCTTTTAAGGCACTGGCAGTGACGCCACATTGCCTTAAAAGTGCAGTCCGCGTTCTCGTCGTGCAGAATCTAAAAGTCCCTAATGTCCACAAGGCAACCAACCATTTGCTCTTTTGTTGATCGGGTTGGATCATGGTAGTAGGGTTCTTTGATCTGCTTTATACCAGCACATATTGATTTTATCAGAATAATCACACTTCACAATGTCTAGTTTTGTCATTGCGGATATTACAGTCAGTTCATCTACCCCGGACTTAACAATGATATCAAAATACTAAGCTTGACAAAAAAGTGAACGAATCGACCATCTCATTCTACAAACCAAATTCGCTGGGTGTATACATTAAGAAACAATATGTATATTCAATTATGTACATCCACGTTTCCTTCAACTTCAGTTCCTAACTAGCAGTTCAAGTTCAATACACTCTGTTTACTGGCTGACTTCAATATTGTTAAATAACCACTACGTTGTGAATATAGGCCAATATGGGCAGGGGAAATAAAAGCAATACATCTAGTTATTATCATAATGATGTGTATTATTTCACGAAAAGTGAAATACAGATTACCACTTGTATCAACCAATAAGTTATACGAAACATATATAGATACAAACATATAATATACAAAAGATTTACAAATTATTGTCATTACTTTTTACATAATAACAGATCATAGCGATTTACGGTGATTAGCCAAATAATTATCATTCTGCCCCGGTAAACCGACCCATGCTCCGGTAACAGATCATAGCGATTTACAGTGATTAGTCAAATAATTATCATTCTGCCCCGGTAAACCGACCCATGCTCCGGTAACAGATCATAGCGATTTACAGTGATTAGTCAAATAATTATCATTCTGCCCCGGTAAACCGACAGGTTTACCGGGGCATTACCATAATGCTACCATGCATAATGTTTTACGTGTAATTTTACTTTGTCACTGATGTATACCTTGTAAAAGAAACTGCAATTCGGCTCTCGGGCCGCGAATGTTTTTTAATGAAATAAACCATTTTAAATAAATAAATAAATAAAGGATTAAAGGAAGGAATTCCGAAAGGAAACTGAATTAGAGTCGCCGGAGCATGTGTCGTAGAAATATATGTATTCATACACGAAATATATACAAGTATACAATAACAAGTATATACAACAATATGAAATGACATTAGTTTGCCTATATTTATATACATTCTGTGATATCTTTCGATGGTTACTCACTTTCACATGACTATTCTTCAAGATGTTGGGAAACACTAATGATTTGGTCATATTCGACCACATGCGTGTAGTATACAAGTTCATTTTACAAGTGCATTAGTTTACCAGGACAGCCTGTTTCCAATATTTATCCCTAGCCAGTCTTTATACCTGGTCCATCCATTAATTGAATAGCTAGTTTGTATATTTCAGTCATAATTTTACATCTGATATCTTTGACTCAGTAAGTTCTAAGTAATGACATTTAGATCTTTTCAAATTCATCTATTAATTCTTTCACCTATTGTCCGTTGGAGAAAAATGACATCAAACATTTTGCTCCTTAGGAATTGGCGTAATGCGGAAGAAGTTCCTGTTCTTCTTGGGGTAGCAAGTAAGGTGTGTTTGAAATAGAAGTTTGATAATCATTTCCGGTCGCTCGACGTGTATGCTGCGACTCATGGTGTCTCATACAATCTAAATCTTCATAGTTAAGTTCTGCTCCATCTTGCTCTCTGTTCTTCTCGCTTGGAGATGCGTTGCTTGCCAACATCTCTGGTGGAATGAATCCGCCGTTTGGTCCTGGAACCAATACTGGTTGGCAAGACGATCCGTTGGACTTTTCACCTTTAGCGATACCGTTCACAGCACCATTGGCTCTACCTGAGTCGCCATTGCGTGATCCCATCACACCAGTGTTTCCAACCATTTCTTGATAAGCTAGTTCGGGTCTTGATGGCTCTATTGGCACCCCTACATGGAGACTAGTCGAGGGTACCCTAGCAGACTCGTTCTTGGTCTGATTAATAGAAGGCTGCTCCGGAAGGGCTCGAATTGTTGGGTTCGTTGACGGCGTAGCTCCTTGATGCTGTCCGTTTGTCATTGCGGTAGTTCCAGCTCGATAGGTCATTTGAGAACTCATTCTTCTTGTGTGTGACGTGCCTAATCGATTTTGTTTCCTGTTTCGCGCAACGATCATTAGGATAAAAATGACACAGAGAATCCACCCGACTCCAGCGAGAACAGATATACCGATGAGGAAAGATGGATTTTGAAAGATTGAAGAGTTTCCAGCTTGGGATTGGAATGCTGTGCTTCCGTCGTCATTCAGAAAACAGTTGTCTTTGACTGGTTCATTACTAATGCGGATCAGGGTTGTTGACTGACTAGCAGGGATGTTCACAACAGGTGTGTCATCCACAATCAAGCTGGCCAAACAGGTCACAATGACATTATCGTCATCACTTGTGATTTGTTTTACTTGAAGACTATTCTTTGTCACCGTAAATCTGGACATAGTCTCGTCGACCAGGATGTCGTTGTATCTCCACCTGATTGCTACACTGGCTCGGACCATTGAATGGATTTCTAGGCTGTAGCTACAAACGAATGTGGTATTATCACCTGCTTTCATGAATGGACGCTTAGGCCAGATAGACGTGTTAAGAGTTCCATCATTAAGCATGTAATTAGTCACCACGGAAGGTAGTGTGGCTTCTGCATTTCGGCTACCGTCACTGTAAACGGGCATATTAGCTAATCCCGAACCAAAAACGTTTGTCGCCTGACACACCAGGTCTGTTCCATTGTCTCCTGGTAAAACAGGTCCTAAAGTCACCAATCCATATCCAGGAAATAGAAGCCGGAAGTCCTGTCGAGTTCCTGTCGAGGGTTCTAGAGAACAGTTAATGTCTTCAACGAACGGTGGGTTGGAATGTGCGACGGCATGATACACTGTGACCCCGGCCTCTACTCCATCTTCCTTTCTCAAGATAGCGACGAACGGACGACTGAAGCGACACGACCGTTCCACTCGGATACCCGCGCCGTCGTCATAGACTAATCTACATTCAAACTGACTTTCCAACTCTTCACGTCGAGCCTCATAGTTGGAAGTTGTGATACGATCAACGGAATACCCATCAGCAACTTTAGTATTATCTTTATACCACTGTACAGATACAGGAGGAGTTGTATTTTCTGACCGACAGTACAAGTTCACATCAGTTCCAAAATCTGCAGGAGATGCAGTGCAGAACGGAAAGTAGTCAGCAGGCGGGTACTTAACGGTTAGCTGTAGTGATTCTGATTCGGATATCATCTGCCCTGAACCATCGTACAAGATACAATAATATCTTCCCTGGTCTGATTTAGACGTTTGTCGAATCTCCAGATTCAAATTCACCATAGTGTGTGAATCCAAACCTCCGTCAATTTCAAACCTCTCTGCGTCCTGTGGATCAGTCAATAGGATCTCTGCATTATTGGCCAATGTGTACTGAGCTACCTGTTGAAGACTTGATGAATACCTTGGGTAGCGACACCAAACTATTTTACCACCAGTGCTGAAGATGTTTGGATCGGCTAGCTCATCACTGTAACAGGTGAATGATGAAGGTGTTCCTTCACTGACAGTATTAGAGTCTGTGTTCACATACAGCTCAGCTTTCACAATCAAAATCAAAGAGATAATCAAGAATATGAAGTATACTATTCTTGTTTGACATGACTCCATTCTGCCAGAAAAGATGAATGGCTTCAGTAGAAATAACAACTGTTCGAAAGAACACGCTTGACTGAAGATGCTTCTTTGTCAGATCTTGGTATTATAATGATTAATGTAACAAGACAGCTAACAACCAACTGACAGCAGCATTACATATCTACCAGCTGAAATGATGATATCGTGAGATGTATCTGAGTTTTATACCTGTCATGATTATGCCGACACAAATCATTAAAAGTTGTGTGGTTATGATCGAACGGTAGAGAGCGCTCTCCACTCATTATTTTGATGATGCCTCTCTGTATGTATGGAGGAAATAGACGCTACTCACCATATTATATCTCCATATTTGTTTGGTGCTTTCACTGACGCTGTTACTTTAGGCCTACGTTGAGAAATACATGCGTATCTAAATATTAATGATAATCTTTGCGGGTAATCATACCAGACACTTGTAATTTATGAGTACCTATTAATGCACTCTCGGATATATATAATAATGATAATAATAGTCAATATTTATACAGCGCTTAACATACTTATCGTTTCAATCAGAGGCGGCGCTCCCGGGGAGCAGGGGAGGGGAGGGGGCAAAGTGCCCCCACTTTTTCAAGTACCCTAAAAATGCCCCTTCTACATAGGAAAAGTGCCCCTTTTTCTTTGACAAGTTCCCATCTTATTTTGCAATAAGCGTCCATTTTCCATTCTCATAAGTGCCTTTTTTAATCTCTAGTAAGTTCCCCTTTCCAGGTACGAGAAGAGCCCCTTTTCACTTTTGATAAGCTCCCCTTTCACCTCTGATAATTGCCCTATTCAAATCTGAGAGGTTCCCGCTTTGCTTTGACAAGTTCCCCTGTAAAAAGTGCCCCTTCCCCTTATAATAACTACCCCTTTTTAACTTGGACAAGCGCACCTTATATTTTCACATTTGCCCCCTTTCCTTTTTAATGAGTGCCCCTTTTCCTTATGATAAGTGCCTCCAATTAAAAAGAGCCCCTTTTCATCTCTTGTAAATGATCCTATTCAATTCTGAGAGATACTCGTTTTACTTTGCCAAGTGCCCCTTCCCCTCCTGATAAGTGCTCTTTTCATAACTTATAAATGCCCCTTTTATTTTGATACGTCCCTCTTTTTTTCTTAATAAATGCTCTTTTCCTTTTTATAAGTGCCCCTTCCCCTTCTCAAAATTATCCCTTTCCATCTTTAATAAGTGCCCCGTTTATTTTAACATGTGCCTCTTTTTCTTTTTAATAAGAGCCACTTCCCTTTTTCTAATAAGTGTCTTAACTCTTTCGATAAGTGTCCCCTTTTCCTCCCATCATTAAATATGCCCCTAATTTCAAGCGACTAAGAGCAATTTCCCCCAAAGCTTGCTCGCTACGCTCGCTCGAAGTTAAAGATGTTATAATTATGTAACTTATCAAAGGTCTTTTCAGTCTTCCGTTATGAGTGAGAACGTGCTTATACCCCCATCAGGTTTTGGTTTTTCCTCTTTATAAAATGTAATTTTTCGCACGTAGACCTCACAAATCTTAAAAAAATTCTCCGCTCGCTTTGCTCCCTCGCAAATGAATTTTCGGACCATCACATCCAACTGCAAAGTATGATGCTCCAATGCTTAAGCAACATCTTATATGATGTATAGAGAAACAAATATTGAAATCATCCCTGATAATGTAATCACAATATAGGGATATACCAATGTCTAAAAAGTTGTATATTTTCGCTTTGAGATTTCCCTTAGTAAGAAGGTGCCCTATTTTCCAGAAAGTGCCCTTTTTTGCTTGTGCCCCCTTCTTTGGAAGTCGCTCCGCCAGATCTGATCGTTTTCCTTAATAGAAGATGTTATTCATGTAAAACGCATTTTCAAGCACTTTAAATGAATAACATCTTCTAAAGGAAAAAGTAATGAAATAATAATATATAGATGTGAGACGACAGACTAACTCTAGTTTTCTGAATGTAACTCTCTAAATCATGGTTGTAGGCCGTTAAAAGTATATATCATTGCAAAGGTAGTATATAAGAAATAATGTGAGCACCAGTAATAAACAAATGGAAAAGTGTAATTTGACACCATAAGGAAAAACATAAGAAAGTATTTTATTAAGCCTACTTCTCTTACCAATCACTGAATTTTGACTGATTTTTTTTTTTTAAAGTTGTTGTCTTTCTTTATTTTTAATTAATTTTTGATTAGCCAAGGACATGCAAATTTACCAAATTACATATTCTTGCATCAATTACTGAGAAACTAATCATAGTTATCATATTTCCATCGCCTGTTCAAGAGATAAAACATTCATCAATCAGCACAATTTAAAAAAAAACTTCAATCGGACTAATTGTTTACAATTATCCTTTAAAAAGTAAAGGCAATTTCCTGAAAATCATAAATTAATACAAAAAAATTAAAAAAGGCATATTTCACGCATTCAAATATACACACTAACATCCAGTATAACCCAAAGTAAAGGAAAATACGTGCGCATTTTTTAGCAATTGAGCCTACATAGACTAGGCCTACAGAGGGCAGTATGTCACAAATGAAAAGCTTAGCCCTTGCTCTTTCATGTGATACCAAAACCATGCAAATATTCTGAACAATAAACCGGTTATGATATTTTAAAGAAAT